TCACTCACCAGCACCTGGGTTCAAGCCCTGGTCAAAGCAACATCGCAAAAAATTTAGAAAAAAGGTTTTTCTTAACAGCGGTCGTCCCTCGGCAGGCGATGGCAAACCTCCGAGTGTATTTCTGCCATGAAAAACAGCTTCTCATAAAAATACAATCGCCGTTCGGAGTCGGCGTAAAACTGTAGGTCCCTCCGCTTTGTGTGACAATATCAAGGCGCACGCCACAAGTTGGAGGAGAAGCTCGGCCAAACACTAACATATGTGTAAGCGCCAATCTATTATTATTATTATTATACAGGCTGTGTTTTTCAATTTAATCGTTGCTTATTTAGTGCAGAAAAGCATTCCATTTTCTTCGTAATTAACGAGAAAAGAAATATATGACAAAAATTTACGTTCAATATTTTATTTACATATGTACCTAAGTAAAGCTTATTAGAATAAAGTTTAATCGGAATATCATATTCCTTTTTATTTATTTAGGTTTCGCAGAATAAACATTATTTCCACAATTTTAAACCTAAATAAATTTTCATTTTTATTTATTTAGGTTTCGCGGAATAAACAGTCTTTTCACAATTTTAACATTGATTTGGAGAATAACACACACATTTTTCCGAAAGCAGCTCCTCCTAATTTATGTACCATGACGTGCGTATTAAATCAAGCAACTAGAATAACAAATAATGTTTAACTCGAAGTTCAGGTCACTGTCGGTCGAATAAAATGTTTTAGTAATGAGAAATAGAGTTTTACAACATTTGGAGAGCCGAGAAGAATAGTTCCTTTTTATATCCAAAGGTACTTAAACGGTGGAAAGGAAACAGAAAGAATATAAAACAAAACCGACCATCTGGCAATTTTCTGAAAAAATTTGATGGGAAAGCAGTCCGAGTTGGTTCTTTAGTTGATGGTAACTGTAAAGAAAAACTCGTTTTCGCAACCCAAGTAAGTTTATACAAAAGGGGGAGAAGGATGCAGCTAAAATGTTGAGCGAGATAGATGGCACTTCTAATCAAATCAAAAACCGGTATTTACACCACCCAGCGAATAAAGATGGAAAAGGCGTGCGCGGAATAGGTTCATGACTTCAGAATCGACTTTCTGGTATTCGAATTTTACAGTCGGTTATTCACCTTTGTCACTCGACTATATGACTTAAGTTGACCTTTTGAAAATTTACCAAAGAAATTAATACCTACATTTATTAATTAACTAGCTTATACCCGCGGGTTTCACCCCGCGCTTTTATACAAATATGAAAAATAATTTAATGATGTTAGATTTTATTTCTGTGCCCATTTCGTTATAGCTCGTTATTTTTTAAGCGAGTTAAGGTATTTAGGCCGTTTAAAACTATGAAATTATAAAATCTCGTCTGCGCGCTAGGCATACGAAAGATATCAATCTCTCTAAGTTTACCTTAAAATGGTTCCAGGTATACGACGCTTGAACGTGTAACCTTCTTGGAGGTGCCACGGCGGGTTCTAATATTTCCAACTCAAATTTAGTAACCTGGCCTTGATAAAATACCACTTCTCATTACTGTAGCAAATGCCTCAAGAGAGCTTTAGATTATAAGGCCGAACCCGGCTCTCCCTTTTCCATTTAATGAAATTTATTCTGTCAGTACAGCACTTATAAAATAAATCTCCATAACAAATTTAAAATACTTCGAGAGATTTTCTATCCTTCCAGAGATATGTATTAAGAAGTTTTTAGTATGTATGGGAGGCGACATGCTTTCTTTTTTAATAACTCACATTTTTTCCATGAGCAATTGATACATTTTGTATACACAACTCCATACCAGGTTCCAGTATTCATCCACAAACACTGTGGCAATAAAAAGTAAATTTGTACTGGAAGTGCCACGCCCCTTTTTCTTATAACCCTAATCTTCTTCCATGAATTTAGAATTGATTTTACATACCCCAGTACCAAGTCCCAGTACTCTACCATGAACACCTCTAGAGATAAGCAGTATAAAACAGTAAATTTGTACGGGAGGAACCATGTCCCCTTTTCGCATAATGGAAATTTTTATCCATGAGTATGGAATTAATTTTTTATACACATCTCGGTGCCAAGTCCTCTGCAATAAACACCTCCAGAGATATGCAGCATAGAAAAATCAATTTGCATGGGAGTTGCCACACCACCTTTTCCAACAACTTTAATTTTTCTCCATGAGTATGGTATTAGTTTCACATACATACATACATATGTATTTCCATACCAAGCTTGAGTGCTTTACCCCAAACATTTGAAGAGATATGCAATATGAAACTTTCAGTCAGTATGGGAGGTGCTACGCCTCTTTTCCAAAAACGTCCATTTTTCTCCGCGAATATGAACATGATTTCACACAGTGTTGGCAAACTGTTAATCTGATTAACGATTAAAAATTAACGATTAAAATGTTAATCGCGTCTGACGATTAATATTAATTAGTCGTAAATAACTGTACGATTAATGATAACATTTTTTTAATCGTTAATCGCTGGCTGCGATTACGTTTAATTAATTTAAAACATTAATCGTTAATCCAATTAAAAATAAAATCTGATTAATTTGTCTAGTTTGTCCGAGTTTGAAACCAAACACCAGTTATAGTATTATTTTGTGTTTTACGCTTATAAAAAGCAAATAATATAAAAAAAATATAATTATTGTTATTAGTAATATATAAACTGGGAACTTTTACAAACCTAGTTTGTAAAACGTTTGTTGGTATATATCTTAATGAATATGCACACCAAATTGCTTAGATTGATGAGGAAACCCGACTTAGCCATACCGGATTAGCTTGGTTTGTGTGCACAGGGAAATTCCAGCATAACTTGATTAATCACCAAACCTGCTTAATCAAATTAAGAGTTAATGATTAAAAATTAATTTTTAATCGCGGTTTCAATTATCTGTTTAGTCAGATTAAAATTAATCATGATTAACTGTAATCAGATTGAATTTAATCGAATTAACTAACTGATTAAAACATCAATCGATTAATGCCAGCATTGATTTCACATACATATCACTATACCAAGTTTCAGTTCTCCCCCACAAATACTTCCAGAGATATGTATGTAATATGAAAATTCCAATTTGTATGGGAGGGGCCTTGAGTTACCGGACTTACTTTCAGTCTAAGACCATCCTTCCGAAATCCGTAGTAAGTGTACTAAATTTCGTTCTGATCGGAAAACCGGTTAAGGATGTAGCCTATTTTTCAATCCAGGTCATAAACCATCTTTGAGCAAAATTTCATTTTCAAACAGGTGGCAATTCTTAAAAAAGCAGCCTATTTTCCAGTCTAGGTCATAAGCTATCTGTGTGCAAACTTTCATGCAAATCAGTTCAGTCATTTACGCGTATTAATTTAATTAAACTTTCCTAATACGTGATAACACTTAAAATCTCTGTGCGAAATGTCATGCAAATCTGTTCAGTCGTTTCCGCGTATTCATTTAATTAAAACTTTTTTAACAGGTGGCAACTCTTCCAAAAAATAGCCTATTTTCCACTGTAGGTCATAAGCTATCTGCTTGCAAAATTTCATGTAAATCCGTTCAGACTTTTCCGCGTATTAATTTAATTAAACTTTTTAGCAGGTGGTAACACTTAAAAAAAGTAGCCTATTTTTCAACCTAGCTCATAAGCTATCTATGTGAAAACTTGCATGCAAATCAGTTCATTCATTTCCGCGTATTAACTAAATTAAAAATTTCTAACCTAGCCTATTTTCCAATCTAGGTCATAGGCTATCTGTGTGCAAATTTTCATACAAATCCATTCAGTCGTTCCCGCATATTAAATAAATTAAACTTTTTCAAGGGGTGGCAATTCTTAAAAAAATTAGCCTATTAACCAATCCGGTCCATAAGCTATCTGTGTACAAAATTTCATGCAAATACGTTCAGTCGTCTCCGCGTGAATATTTCCCAAACATCCAAACATACAAACTTTCACATTTATAATATTAGTAAGATGAATATAATATTATTGTTTTAAAAAAAATTATATTTTATCAATGCCATTTAGCATTGAAATTTTAAATTAATTGTTAAAGCTAAAATTAAATATGTAATTTAAGAAAACCACATGTATTTATTTATTCATTTATTAATTTTTGTGCGGTGACCACATATGTATTTAACTGGAAGGATTGAAAGCTGTATTACCATATTTTGAATATTACTTAATTGAAGTGGCAGTGTTATCAAAAGAAACCCTAAAAATAATATGAAAAATTAAAACATTGGGTTTACACTTCTGCTATAGGAAGTTAAAACCAAAAATTAGGTTATTATGTTACCATAAAATACTTAGTAAACAAAAATCGAAAAGTCATCGAGTTAGAGTCTATTCTATTCGACTTGGGGTGACTGAACTCGATTCGAAAAAGTCGCGTTTTAAATTGATTTTTCCCTATGAACAAACCGGTTCCTTACACTCCAGATGAAGCTTTATCTTTATATGTCGATTAAGGATCTACAAAGGCGTCTTATATTTACTCCAATATTTATATCAATCATATCCTTTGTTGGGTTGGAAAACCTTCAATTCCGCCGGTGCGAACTCGCAAGAATCGTATTTGTATATAATGTAAAGAAAAACACCAAATGTATTATTAGTAGGAGGATACTCAGTTTATTAATCTCTATCAGATTAATTATATAATCGTGTAAGACAAAGTAACGTAGATTACCTCTGTAAGTAGGTGTGTAGGCACGATAACTGCTGCTTCCACCGTAGGCTTGGACTATACATACGGTGACCATCCGTTCTGTTTTTAGAAGAACAGTTCTGTTTTTAAACCGCTTGTTCTGCGTATTTTTTTTTTATGGAAAATAACAAAAATGTTCTGTTTTTTGTTCTGCTTTCATGCGCTATTCAAATAAAAAAAAAGTTGTTTCTACTACGGCAACCCTTTGATGATCGAAATGTATGTTGATATCGATATTACTTTGTAATCCCTATTAAACAGCTGATTGGCCATTGTAAATTACGTGAAGCTAAGTTGTCGGCTTGGATTGCATTGCGTAAAATTAGCAAACAAATAGGTAAGTTTTACTGCAAATAGTGTTTAAAGCTTAAAGTAGCTTAACTTCACAAGTATTCTTTTATTTCAGCTGTGCATAATGCCGCCCCACAGAAAATGCGTATTCAATGAAGAAATGCAAAACCAGTACAAGTTCTTAAAAAAAATACATGCCAGTGAAGTGCAATGTTTAAGATGTTTGGCTGTTTTTTCTATCGCCAATGGAGGCAAATACGATGTGCTACGCCATTTGCAATCTAGGAAGCATCGGAATGCTGATGTTGCAGCTTCAACCAGCAAAACCGTGTTGAACTTTGTGCGGATGCGTACGATGGATGCGCAAGGAAGGAAAACCAGCATAAATGAAGGAACCTGGGCGTATCACACTGTGAAACATAATTTTTCTTTCCGTTCGAATGACTGCACATCGAAGCTCATTAAAAAGTGTTTTGATGAAAATTATTCATCAGCTCACACAAAGTGTGAAGCTATTGTCTGTAATGTGTTAGCACCAAATGCAATGCAACTAGTCGAAGCAGATTTGAGTGTCGTAAATTTTATTGCTATATTTTCCGACTGCTCAAATCATGGTAGTATGAAAGTGTGCCCAGTACTAGTTAGATACTTTTTACCGGAGAAAGGTGTACAATTAAAAATATTAGAAGTGAATGATCTGCGCGGTGAAACGTCAGATTTACTTAGAAATTATATTTTTGATCTCATGACAAAGTTTGCTTTAAGTACGAAACTACTCGCTCTGTGTGCGGATAATACTAATTGTAGCTTCGGGGGAGCCGCAAGACGCGGAAAAAATAATCTTTTCCATAAACTAGCTGAGTCCACCGGGAGTACCCTTATTGGCGTAAATTGTGCTGCTCACATTGTGAATAATTGTATACAATCATCGATAGAGTGTCTTCCTGTGGACATTGAAGTCATTGTCGTAAAAATATTTTCATACTTTTACATATATACGGTTAGAGTAGAGCATTTAAAAGAAATTTGTGACACTGTTGATGTCGAATATAAAAAAATGCTGGGGTATAGTAAAACAAGATGGCTTACTTTGAAGCCAGCAATTGAACGAATTTTGAAACTTTTCAAACCACTAAAAAAATATTTTTTAGAACAACCTCACTGCCCAAGCATTCTAAAAACATTCTTTGAAAATTCTACTTCAGAAATGTGGCTTTTGTTTACACATTGTCAAGCATCTCTTTTCCATAATTATATTACACAAATTGAATCGCAGAATATTTGTATGGTAGAAGTTGCTTTACTAATAAAACAACTGAAATTAAAAATCACAGAACGCAGAGATGGAATTTTTTTACCACTGATGCTCAAAAAAATAATTTCGGAATTTGAGAGAGCAGGAACTGAAAACCTGAGTGAAATTAAAGATCAAGTCAAAAAATTTTATATTAATTGCATAGATTATTTAAATCAGTGGGATCATGCATTTAAAGAGGTTGAAGGGATGGAATGGGTACTTTTGCGTACAATGCCATCTTGGCATGATGTTGAAAGAAATTGTGTATATATTATGGAAAAGAGAAGCCAAATTAAAATTAACGACAGCGAGTTATTTGATGAGTTCACATGTGTTAAAAATTATGCGACTCCAAATAAGCTAAAGGAATGGACGAACGGTGGAAGGCTAGTCGACAGTAAATGGGCTGAAATATTTCAACATTTTATGAAAAATTCCATACCTTTTCAAAATATTTTAAAAATTGTAGAATTTAATTTGTGTTTACCAGGTTCAAATGCCCCCACCGAAAGAGTATTTTCCATATTAAACAATATATCGACTGATGAAAAATCGCAAATGAAAATTGAGACTGTTAAATCTATTTTAATAACGAGATGCAACTATGAACTGAGTTGCTTGGAGTTTAGGGAATATTTACAAAATAAGGAAAATATAATTAAACAAATTTATGCCGCAGAAAAATACCAGTGATTTGTATTTGATGCACAAATTTTTTTTATGGCATTGTTAATTAAAATCAAAGCCAATGAAATGTGATGTATGTGGTTTATGTGAATTTTTGTCACTTTTAATAATAAATACGTTTTTATATAAAAAAATGTGTTCTGTTTTTTTGATTTAAATTTATGGTCACCGTAACTATACAAGAAGTACTAATATAGCAGGATTTGCGATACATGCTTATATAAGCGTATAATATCGTAAGGGAAACACCGGTTGACTTTCGGTCGATGTGCATCTTTGCAGCGGATAGCAGTGCCGAAAGTCAAACAGCGTTTCCCAAACGTTGAAGGCTTTTGGCTTAAACATTGCCGCCGGCTTTGCAATACGTATGGATTGCAAATAATATTTCTTAAAAAAATATATATGTATGTATATATATACATGTAGTATGCTAAGAAATGTAATTCATTTTATTTTACTTTTTTCATCATATCTTATAATATAGCCGTAAATACTAAATGCATCTAACTTGCATTGTGGATGCATGTGAAATAATATTGTTGAGCAACATAAAAACGCATAACTAAACATGATAGTTTTAATTAGATCAATAGTGCATTTTTGTGTGTTATTCGGAGAATTATTCCGTCAAGGGGTTTGATTGCCTTAAAGGGCACACGGGCCTGAAAGGACCCAACCGAATATGCTATTCTGAGCCGTAGGAAACCCAGCGTTAGTTATAATTTCATGCCGCATGATTTTAAAATACACGTCACCGCCAAAGATTAAAGCTACAGCCGAAGAAGAATAAAAGTTAGGATCCGCGAGCTTAAGATTCATGAATTTGTCTGCAATCGATGTGTCTAAATGGCGTGCTGGCGTTTTCAAAGCTATTTCGGGGACAACCTTGGCTGTAAGAGAGACACGCATCTTAGCATCGTTTACTGAGCTGAGCCATAGCTCACACATATCTACGTTCGCCACTGGTAGGGTCGACACGCGGAGCTTCTGAACTAGTGTTCGACATATTTTGCTCGATTGAGAGCACGGATCCAAAAGTGCGCGAACGAGAACCCGTTGTTGTCGCACATGAAGATATACTGCACACGTTGGCAACAAAGTTAAGGCCCCAGTTAACTGTGACAAAACTTGCGGTTGTCGGCATTTTGACACTAAACGGCGGTTTCCATGGAGCAACGAGTGGTGCCGCACATGACAATATTCGCATGACCCTAAGCTATTGCAATTCTTTGTTGTATGTGAATAAGCCAGGCACCTCGAGCAATACCTATAAAGCAAAACGCATCGCATTCGCTTTTCAAAGTTAAACGATAAGAAGCGTTTGCAAAAACGTAAAGGGTGCGCCCGATTGCACACTCTGCATTTTTTGTTTGTGCTCTTTGTCTTTGCCGGACCGGGTGGTGCAGATGCTAGAAATGCTGATCTTGATGGTGATGGCGATGATGATTGCAATCGTGGCGAGACTGTTGCCAATTCCATGATGAATAAAAAAACTGTAAATTAAGAGAAGTGGATGTTCTGAGCTTAGTTAGGAAGGACTACTAGCTTTACTATAGGGCGGGTGATTATTCCCTTTTGGGTACGAATGTCGGCTACTCTAGTTCTTTTATCATTGCCTTGATAGACTTTCACGATCCTACCCAATCGCCACTCATGTGGAGGCAAATTTTCATGGCGAACAACTACTAAATCACCCACGACAAGATCTCTTTGTGGAAACTTCCATTTGTAGCGTTTGTGAAGTTCCTTCAAATATTCTTCTTTCCAGCGCAACGACATTTGCTGGCTAAGTGCTTTCATTTTCTGCCATCGATTAATCAGTGAAAGTGGATTGGCTTCAATTGAAGGCTCTGCAGGAGCGATGATAGGGCCACCTGTAAGAAAGTGCACAGGAGTAAGAGCAGCGCAATCTGCTACATCTGTGGAGGTAGGAGAAATGGGGCGAGAGTTTAAGCATGCCTCAATACGACCAAGTAATGTATGGAACTCTTCGAAGGTATACTTATACGACATACCGACGCGCCGAAAATGAAATTTAAAACTTTTTACACCGGCTTCCCATAACCCACCCATGTGAGGAGCTCCACCGGGAATAAAATTCCAAGTTACCTCATGATGACTGTATAAACCACATATCGATTCCTGAGAACCTTTTATGAACTTCTTGTAATCATTTTTGAGAACTGCAGAAGCGCCAACGAAATTGGTTCCGTTGTCTGAGAAGATCTGTTTAGGACAACTGCGTCTCGATACAAATCTGGAGAAGGCGCCAAGAAAAGTTTCTGTAGAGAGATCACTTGTTGCTTCCAGATGTATCGCCTTCGTAGAGAAGCATACGAAGATGCACACATATCCCTTGGTAATTACGCATCCCCTGCCTCGATAAATTTTGATGTCAAAAGGGCCAGCAAAGTCCACTCCTGTATTTTGAAAAGGCCTAGATAACGATGTCCTTTCTTCTGGAAGCGCTGCCATGATTTGCGACTGTTCCCTTTTCTTATGGATTACGCATACCTTACATTGGTGGATGACGGCTCTGATTAGTGTTTTTGCCTTTGGTATCCAGTATTGTTGGCGTAGCAATCGTAAGACTAATTGGTTTGCGCCATGAAGAGAAATATTATGTATGAAATTTATCAGAAGGCGAGAATAACTACAGTCATATGGGATGAGAATTGGATGCTTTTCATCATAGGAGAGCGCAAGCGAATTGATGAGCCTGCCATTGGCTCTTAGAAGGCCATTACCATCAAGAAATGGATTTAAATTAAGCAGCTTGCTCTTCTTTGATAAAGGTATTTTCAGCGCCAAGTGCTGATATTCCTCACTAAAACCTCTTTTCTGTGACAGACAAATCAAACGTTCGCGCGTTTTGGAATATTCTGCCCCAGAGACTGCTAAAGAGTCAAACGAATATATATTGCGTGTTTTCCTATTTGCCATATAATAGAACCTCAACACATATGACAAGACACGCAAAGCTCGAGGAAGTGAAGAAAATCGTTCCAATGGATCCTCCAAATCGGTAACCTGTGAAACATGCGCATAGATTTTTTTAGCTTCGGGTACGACATAATACAGTTCCTTGTCGAAAGGCGGCCAGTGTGAATAGTCTTGTCTCAGCCAGCGAGGACCATGCCACCATAAGTCGTTCGTGCACAAATCTTGTGGACTCCCTCCGCGCCTGCCTAAATCTGCAGGATTATCCTGTGAATCTACGTGGTACCAATGTACATGACTCGTCCTTTTTTGTATTTTTGCAACTCTATTGGCTACGAAGGTTGCCCAAGTGTAAGGTGGTTTCTTTAACCATGACAACACAATTGTTGAATCTGTCCAACAGTAAATCTTTCCTACTCTGATTGATATCTCGTTAATAAGAGATTTGAGCATTTCGGAAATAAGTAGAACTCCGCATAACTCTAACCGGGGAAGCGAAATGGTTTTTAGAGGCGCAACTTTTGTTTTTGCTAAGAGAAGATGAGAAGATATATTTCCATGATTATTTGCACGCAGATAAATCACCCCCGCGTATGCCTTTTCCGAGGCGTCGCAAAAGGCATGAATTTCGATGGGAGATTCATCGGTATATTCCACCCAACGCGGAATTTTGATGAAGCCTATGAACCTATAATTTTCGACAAAGTCTTTCCATTGAGGAAGTGTTTGGGAACTTAAAGGTTTATCCCAAGGGGTATTATCTTTCCAAATTTGTTGCATTATGATTTTAGCAGTAATCACTATGGGAGCTAACCAACCGGCAGGGTCGAAGAGTTTGGATATTGTCGATAAGACTTCTCGTTTCGTGTACGAATTTTTGAAGGATGGGGGTTGAACCATGAAATAAAAATGGTCTAATCGAGCGTTCCACCTGATTCCTAGCGCCTTTGTGTTACTCGTTTCATCAAAATCTAGAAAATCCTTATCCAACATATGATCCTTAGGAAGGCCTATTAACAAGTCTTTCGAATTCGAGGACCACTTTCTTAGCAAAAAACCTGCACTTGCGAGAGCGTCTATCAATTCATTCCTTGCACGTAGAGCAGTAGAAATATCAGGAAACCCTGCTAAAACTTCATCAACGTACATTGAATTTCTTAGAATTTGTGCCGCCATTGGATGCGAATTCTGACAGTCGTCAGCTAATCTAAGAAGTGTCCGAATCGCTAAGTATGGAGCGCAGTTGATTCCGAATGTAACGGTTTTCAGCTGATAATCTTCAATGTCGCTATTCTTATCACTACGAAACAAAATTCTCTGAAAAGGTCTATGGTCTGGATGAATCAATATTTGGCGATACATTTTTTGTATATCGCTGTTGAATACAAACTTGTATATTCTATACCGTACAAGAAGTAATGTTAAGTCTGATTGAAGGACTGGACCGGTGTATAAAATGTCGTTAAGACACACACCATTTGACGATTTGCTGGAGGCATTGAATACTACTCTCAACTTAGTAGAGGTACTTTCAGGCTTAAGAACTGAGTGATGAGGAAGGTAGAAATGGGATGGAAAATGCTGAAAATTAGGAATAGCTACCCGCTCCATGTGATCTAACTCCAAATATTCCTTAACGACGTTGTCATAATTAGCTTTAAGCCCACTGTCTTTCTGCAGCCTACTTTCATTTCGAATAAACTGTCGTAGTGCATTAGGGCGTGATGATCCTAGTTTGATTTCCGTAGGAAATTCCTTTTTAAAGGGCAGTGATACGATGTATCTGCCTTCTGGATTTCTGGTGGTGGTTTTTGTGTAAAGCTCTTCACAGAACTTGTCTTCCTCACTCTGAAGATTTCGTTTTGGGACCTCCTCCAATTGCCAAAACCATCGAAGTTGGTTGTCCATGGTATCATCATCTCCTATTGAGACCTTTGTAGCAAAGCAGGAAACGTGTGCAGTGGAAGCTGCCCCAGTGACATTCCACCCGAACACCGTTTCTTGGGATAAAAGGTTGTTGTGAAGACTTCGTTTCACTCCCTCCATCATAACCTTGGGATATAAATCACCACCAATCAAGACATCTATGGGACCGCTTTGTAAAAAATTAGGATCCGCTAAAGGAATTTT